TCCCTGAGATCGTGTTCGACAGGTCGATGGACTGCAGACGCTCTGAAAACAAAAACATCACATTTACCTCTACCTGGAGAGTAGATCACAGGTCTCACAGGTGAGTTAGAGTTATTTATATAACAGGTGATGTACAGGTGAGTTAGAGTTGTTTATATAACAGGTGATGTACAGGTGAGTTAGAGTTATTTATATAACAGGTGATGTACAGGTGAGTTAGAGTTGTTTATATAACAGGTGATGTACAGGTGAGTTAGAGTTATTTATATAACAGGTAATGTACAGGTGAGTTAGAGTTGTTTATATAACAGGTGATGTACAGGTGAGTTAGAGTTGTTTATATAACAGGTGATGTACAGGTGAGTTAGAGTTATTTCTATAACAGGTGATGTACAGGTGAGTTAGAGTTATTTCTATAACAGGTGATGTACAGGTGAGTTAGAGTTATTTATATAACAGGTGATGTACAGGTGAGTGAGAGTTATTTATATAACAGGTGATGTGTTGTAGTTTTTAATTGCTGTGATCTCAGGTGAGTTTGTCCTCACTCAGGTTCATAAAGTCCGTGTTCTTCACGTGTCGGATTCTGTTGAAACGCCCATAAAAGCGGGTCGTTTCTTTGGGGAGGGGGGGGATCTGGTCCAGACCCGTGTCGTCACAGTACACACTCCCACTGATACACACACACAGCAGACAGGTGGGCATACCTGCAGGTGGACAGTGGGTATGGCTCAACAGAGGAGTATAGAAACATTGAACATGATTATGAACTAACTCTCTGACATACCAAGACCAGTCTCAGGTCCAAACAGACCCGGTCCATTAAAATCCAGAGTGACAGGGGTGGGAGGGTGGGTGGGGAGGGAAGGCTGGGTAGGCGGAGTCACTTCCTCTTCCTGCTCCTCAGGTGTGGGCTGGGGGGGTGGGGCATCGGTGTCAGGGACTATGGGGCCCACCTCAATCTGAGAGAGGGAGATCCAGAAAGAGAGAAGTGTTCAGCTCAAAATTTAAGTAAAATAGTCGGATAAACATCGTCTTCACTTGATAACATCCTCAGAGGAGATTAAGCTAGGATCAGGACCAGGTCCCAGTCTGATGACCTGTTAGATAGGATCAGTACCAGGTCCTAGTCTGAAGACCTGTTTGCTAGGATCAGGACCAGGTCCCAGTTTGATGACCTGTTAGCTAGGATCAGTACCAGGTCCCAGTTTGATGACCTGTTAGATAGGATCAGGACCAGGTCCCAGTTTGATGACCTGTTAGATAGGATCAGTACCAGGTCCCAGTCTAATGACCTGATAGCCAGGATCAATACCAGGTCCCAGTCTGATGACCTGTTAGCTAGGATCAGTACCAGGTCCCAGTCTGAAGACCTGTTTGCTAGGATCAGGACCAGGTCCCAGTTTGATGACCTGTTAGCTAGGAGCAGTACCAGGTCCCAGTTTGATGACCTGTTAGATAGGATCAGGACCAGGTCCCAGTCTGATGACCTGTTAGCTAGGATCAGGACCGGGTCCCAGTCTGATGACCTGTTAGATAGGATCAGTACCAGGTCCCAGTCTGATGACCTGCTAGCCACGATCAGTACCAGGTCCCAGTCTGATGACCTGTTAGATAGGATCAGTACCAGGTCCCAGTCTGATGACCTGTTAGCCAGGATCAGTACCAGGTCCCAGTCTGATGACCTGTTAGATAGGATCAGTACCAGGTCCCAGTCTGATGACCTGTTAGCCAGGATCAGTACCAGGTCCCAGTCTGATGACCTGTTAGATAGGATCAGTACCAGGTCCCAGTCTGAAGACCTGTTAGCCAGGATCAGTACCAGGTCCCAGTCTGATGACCTGTTAGATAGGATCAGTACCAGGTCCCAGTCTGATGACCTGTTAGCTAGGATCAGTACCAGGTCCCAGTCTGATGACCTGTTAGATAGGATCAGTACCAGGTCCCAGTCTGAAGACCTGTTAGATAGGATCAGTACCAGGTCCCAGTCTGATGACCTGTTAGATAGGATCAGTACCAGGTCCCAGTCTGATGACCTGTTAGATAGGATCAGTACCAGGTCCCAGTCTGATTACCTATTCTGCAAGACGAGGAGAGACGACTTGTGAGGGCAAACCAAAACTCATGAATGAAGCATCATGTTCCCAAAACAAGCAGATTTTATTATTACGATATTTTATTTTACAGAGATGTAATCCTAATAAACAGGCTGAAAGGATGCTGAAATCATGAACCATGTTCAAAGTAACCAACCACATATCTTCCTGGTAGCTCCCTTATGACGTTAAAATGATCAAAAGTGTTTATTGACATGTTGATGTCGGGGGTTCGGGTTTTTAATCATCTTCAGGTAGACTTCAGAACCTGTTTAGAAAGTCTTTTCAGTGAGGGTCAGGTGCCCGTCTGGATCAGTTTTCAGATGGACTGCACAAAGCTGTATTCATGATTTGTTTATTACAAAATTAGAAACATAAAAATGATAACCGGATTCAACCATCCGCTGCAACAATGATTCATTCTCCATTCAACGTGAACATTTGATCAAAAATGAACAGAAAAGGCTGTTTTGTGACACGTTGACGTTTCAGTATTACAAGGTTTTTGATGTTAAGAACTGATTTCTAACTTCTAACACTTTCCCCTCTCTCTGTGGGAACACTAACCCCCTTCAATGATCAATCAGTTCCCACACCCACCCCCCACCCCCCAACCCTCCCCCAATGCACACACACCTCCTGGTCCAAGTCTTCATAGTCATAGCTGTCTCCATAGTTGTTGGAGTCCAGGTTCTCCCAGTCCACCTCACTGGTCAGGTCGTAGTTCTCAAGGTCGAACACTTCTCCATCAGGCTCTCCTGGAGGGGCAGAGAGGGCGGGCAAGGGGCCCACCACCAGGACCAGGACCATGGCCCCCATCAGGGCCCACAGTAGCCTCGTCCTGTCAGACATAGAGACCTGCTGACATAGAGTTAATGTACCTGCGTCAAAGGCTTTATATGCAATTCTTTTCATCCAGCTTTATATGCAATTCTTTTCATCCAGCTTTATATGCAATTCTTTTCATCCAGCTTTATATGCAATTCTTTTCACCAGCATGAAACCAAAACAACTCGCGCTGCATTGTTGAGTTAGCATGCTAATGCTAGCGATCTTTACTATGCTCGTATCTTCACACTGTAAATTTACCCGAAATGACCGTGATCTAGAAGTTAAGCAATGAGTACAGTATGTTGTTCTTCTTTTTTCTAGTCCCTCAATTAAACAACTTCAATACGCAAGGGGAGGAGTCTGCCTGCCATCCTAGCGATATAAACAAACTGAAGACAGGACTCGGAAAACTCGGAAAACATCACAGACAGTGGGACTCGGGTGTTACACCCATTGTAGACAGTCATGACTCAGAGTTATTTTCAGAGGATATACTTGATTTCTATTACATTTGAGTGTGAAAAATTGCATATAAAGCCTTTAAAGGATTGAGCGACTGAGCTTATAATTTTCTTTAAACAGCTGATTAACAATTGTTACAAAGGGTTAAATGTTCCTCAAACTGCGCTGCAGTGCAAACTGTGTCTCTGTGCGTCGATTCTGTTTGTTAAATGATCCATTATTCAGTCATTTGAAGAACAATCATCTCTTTTTCTATAAATCAGCCTCATTGTAAAAAGAGTCTAACTCACAGACAGGGGGCGCTAACAGCCATGCACAGTTAGAGTGAAAACATGGTTGTGTTCTGATAGTTGGTGGTAACTGTGCCGAAGTATTTATATGAGATGTGATGCTCAAACATTCCAGAGATCTGGAAAACCACCTCTGTATGTCTTCAAAATGAAAGCTCTGTAAATAAATTCTGTAAATATGACTATTATTAATATAAACACTGAGGGGTTAAATCAGTCCGGGACTGTCAGCAGCTTTGTCCTCTTTAAAAAGTGTCAAAAGTTTCTCATCTTTATGTGGACAGAACTGAGCTCAGTCATTATGAGAGTGGAACTCCGTCAGTGTGAGAGTGCAGCCCCGTCAGTGTGAGAGTGCAGCCCCGTCAGTGTGAGAGTGCAGCCCCGTCAGTGTGAGAGTGCAGCTCCATCAGTATGAGAGTGCAGCTCCATCAATGTGAGAGTGTAGCTCTGTCATCATGAGAGTGCAGTTCAGTTAGTGTGAGAGTGCAGCTCCGTCAGAGTGAGAGTGCAGCTCCATCGTCACGAGAGTGCAGCGTCATCAGTATGAGAGTGCAGCTCCATCGTCATGAGAGTGCAGCGTCATCAGTATGAGAGTGCAGCTCCATCGTCATGAGAATGCAGCTCCATCAGTGTGATAGTGCAGCTCTGTCACTGTGAGATTGCAGCTCCGTCACCATGAGAGTGCAGCTCCGTCAGAGTGAAAGTGCAGCTCCATCGTCATGAGAATGCAGCTCCATCAGTGTGATAGTGCAGCTCTGTCACCATGAGAGTGCAGCTCCGTCAGAGTGAGAGTGCAGCTCCATCGTCATGAGAATGCAGCTCCATCAGTGTGATAGTGCAGCTCTGTCACCATGAGAGTGCAGCTCCGTCACCATGAGAGTGCAGCTCCGTCAGAGTGAAAGTGCAGCTCCGTCAGCGTGAGAGTGCAGCTCCATCAGCGTGAGAGTGCAGCTCCGTCAGTGTGAGAGTGCATCTCCATCAGTGTGAGAGTGCAGCTGAGTGAAGCTGCAGATATCTTCTCTCAAACACTAAAGAAGAGCTAACTGTGTTCGTGTCTGAAGATCATCAGAGCTTTGAGAGTTAGACTCTCTCTCCGAGTTAGACAGAGATGATAGAGAACATGATGAAAGAGTTATCAGAGACCATTATTCGGTTGCGTGTGATGTGTGTGTGAGTGAGTGTGTGTTTGTGTGTGTGTGTGGTGTGTGTGTGTGTGTGTGTGTGTGTGTGTGTGCTTTGTCAGTTTGTTCAGATGCACAGAGGAATGTTTCACTGAAGCTGACAGCAGTGTGTGAGT